ATTTTATTTTATTTTATTTTATTTTATTTTATTTTATTTTATTTTATTCTTTCTTCAAGAAAAATTTTTTTTAATGTTTATTTTTGAGACAGAGAGAGACAGAGCATGAATGGGGGAGGGTCAGAGAGGGAGACACAGAATCCGAAGCAGGCTCCAGGCTCCGAGCTGTCAGCACAGAGCCCGACGCGGGGCTTGAACTCACACCGTGAAATCATGACCTGAGCTAAAGTCGGATGCTTAACCTACTGAGCCACCCAGCAACCCCTCCTTACAGCTGTTTATTATTTCCAGGATTTCACTGTTTTTGATGAGAAGCCGGTCATAATTTTTATTGTTACTACACTGTATGTAATGTGTCATTTTTCTCTAGATGCTTTTAACATTTTTATCCTCCTTCTCTTTCTCTCTCTTTATATTGGAATTTGACCATGATGTGTGTAGTGTGTTTCTTGGCATTTATCTTCTCAGTGTTCTCTGGCCTTCTTGAATTTGTAAATTTATGTCTTTCATCAAATTTGGAAACTTTCTGCCATTAATTTCTTCAAATACTGTTCATTTCCTTTCCCTTTTTTTTCTTTTGCTTAGGACTCTATATGTATGTTATGTATATGTTATGTTTTATGTATGTTAGTCTTTTGCTATTGTTCCATAGGTCCTTGAAGCTCTGTTTATTTTTTCAATCTTTTTCTTTGCTCTTCAGATTGTATATGTTTTATTGCTCTGTCTGTAAGTTCACTGACATCTCCAATCTGCTCTTGTGTTCCTCCAATGAATTTTTCAGAGTTTTAATTATAGAATTTCTATTTTGTTCTTTTTATAGTTTCTGTTTCTCTGCTGAGATTTTTTTCTTTTACTCACTGGGAACATCGTTTCCCTTTTTCCCTTTAACATAGTTATAGCTGTTTTAAAATGCTTGTGTGCTAGTTCCAGTATCTTAGATCATCTTAGAGTCAGTCCCTATTAATTGCCCTTTTTCTTGATTATGGATCATACTTTCTTGTTTGTCTTTTGTCTAGTAACTTTGGAATACATCTTGGACATTGTTAATGGTATGTTGTAGAAACTCTGCATTCCATTATATTCTTCCGAAGAGGCTTTATTTTTTTAACATCAAGTAATTAACTTGACTGTTCCTCAGATTCCCATTTCTTTCCTTTTGTGGTGGTGAGCAGCTGGGTTCTTTTAAACTTAGTTGGACTGCCTCGAGTCTGCTCCATACGTCAGACATCTGGAGAAAGTTTATGCATACATCACTCTCTGACTCTCTCCTTCCCTGTGATTTCTCTATACTCTTCCCAGCTGTTGTGTTCACTGCAAACACTGCCTTCTGGTTCTTCAAGGCAGGAAGACTAGAGGTTTTCTGTATTTTTGTTTCCTGTTATGGCACCAGCGGGGGCTGTCCCTCAGGCTAAAACTTGTTTTAAAAATAAAAAACATCTGGAAGGTATACTTTTCTAAATGTATCACACCTCTTTATCCCCCATTGCCTGTTTTTGTCTGTCTGTACTGCCTTCAGAGTTGGGTTTTGTTTTTGTTTTTTTTGTCCAGAGTTTATAGTTATATGTGAGAGGGTCATTTTGGTAGGAACTACTTGACCATTACTAGAAGCCAATTTTAAGATTTAAATTTAAATGAAGATACCTTACTCCAATGTTTTATTTTCTTTGCAATCTTAGGTACCCTCTTAGTGGCATGATTTTACCAACTTTTAGAGACTGGATCCAAAATACCCTTGGAGTAAGCCTGGAGCATAGAACTACCTCTAAAGTAAGAAATAAGAATGATTACTAGCATACTTAACTCTGTGTTGTGTCTCTGTGTGTGTGCACGTGCATGTGTTTAATCCTAAATCAGTTAGAGTTATCTTTGTAATTTGTTATAATTGCTTTAATACATTTGTTGTAATTTTTTTGTTAAGAAGTTTACTGGTTTAATTGGCCTTGCTAGGTTTTCTAGAGATGGCTTTTCAGCATCACAGATATAGATCCTAATCTCAGAATTTATCTGAGAGTTGCCTGGCAAACTTTTTATGTTCTCTGAGGCTCAGTTACCTTAATTTGAGAAGTGAGAATAATAACTGTCTGTTCTATGTCTCTTAGGGTGGTAGTGAAGTGCAAATGAATGCATTCTGTGAGGGACTGCTACAAAAGGATAAGTTGCTATCATTTTTAGGATATTTAATGAACTGACAGTAATCCAGGATTAATATAGGATAATTTGAAATAAAAATGTAATGTTACTTTTAATATCAAAACATTCAGAATTTTAGAAGACTTACAAAGTAAAAATTTGATTAAGGTATGAGTGATAGAGAACTTTGGTCTGTTCATGTAGTTTCATTTTTCTGTAGTTGAGGTTAAAAAACTTTAAACTGTATTCATATCAAACTAATGAAGTAGCATTTCTCTATATTATTATGATTTTCATTATTTATTGTTGTTATTATTTCTATGGCATGGTATTCTGCATGTCCCTCTAAATTGGGTTTAAGTTCTATAAGTGCAGGGACTATGGCTTACACTGTATTCTTTTTTTTTTTTTTAAGTTTGTTTTATTTATTTTGAGAGAGAGTGTGCATGTGTGTGAATGGGGAGGGGAGAGAGGGAAAGAGAATCCCAAGCAGGCTCTGTGCTGTCAGCACAGAGCCTAATGTTGGGCTCAATCTCACAGCTGTGAGATTGTGACCTGAGCCAAAAATCAAGAGTCAGACACTTAACCGACTGAGCCACCCAGGTGCCTCTATGCTATATTCTCTGCTGTATCCAACACGCTATTGAGGGCTATAGGTATTTAGTGAGTACTTGTTTGCTTTATTTATAAATCCACTGTTACATGTCATTCTACTAAAGAAATTATGTGAACAGTTAATTCCTACCCCTCTGAAACCAAATTCTTTGAACTTTTCTTACAAGATTTCTTTTTTATTTCCTCAGTTCTTTCTTTTGGCTGTTTATAATTATCTTTTTTTACATTGATGTAATATGTATACCATTTTCAGAAATTTTACCAGTTTTCCATGTACTTTTTTCTGATTTTGAGCCCTTTTCAATTTTTAATAACTTAATAAAATCATAACAGTGTATCTTTTGTTGGGGTTCTCTGGTCATTTCCTCTCACTGTAATGTAAATTCCATGAGGCCAAGGATTTTTTTCCCTGATTATCTCAGTGCTATATCCCCAAGGCCTAGAATAGTGCCTAGTATATAGCACACACTCAATAAATATTTCTTATATAATTGGATATTAAATACAGACTCTTTAATAAGATACTAACACTACATAAATATGTATTTTTTACACATCTTTTAAATGTTATTATAAAATATTATTATCAAATGTTTATTTTGAGAGGGAGGGAGAGAGAGAGAGAGAGAGAGATAGCAGGAGAGGGGCAGAGAGAGAGGGAGAGAGAGAATCCCAAGCAGGCTCTGCACTGACAGCACAGATCAAGGTGGGGCTTGATCTCAGGAACTGCGAGACCATGACCTGAGCCGAAATCAGGAATCAGCTGCTTAACCATCTGAGCCACCCAGGTGCCTCTTTTACATATTCTTATTTTTTCTTTTTTCCAGATACTGTATCATAGCTTTTTTTAATAGCAGATTTTATTTGGCCAGCCTTTTCTCTGTCGTAGGCATGGTATTTGGTGCTTTTCACAAAAATTACCATCTTTTGACCTTTCTAATTCCTTATGGTAGCTGTATAAGTTTAGTGGTGATAATCTCACTTAACAGATGAAGAAGCCAAGGCTCAGAGAAGTTGGGTGATTTGCCCAGTGTCACATAGCTTTAAAGTTGAAGATTTATTTTTCAGGTTACCTGTTAGTTGAAACTAAGTTATCAAATTATAATATGTTGTGAGTTTTAAAGCAGTTCTATAAAAATAGACGAGGTTTCTTGTTGATCATTTTAAAATGGTAATTGAAATCTAAGAAATGGTAAATTTTATCTGCAGGTGAAAATGTAGATGATGCAAAAGTTAAGTAGCTTTTCCCCAGTTTCCTTGATCTAAAATGGAAGATTTGAGACTTTGCCATCTTCTTTGTTCTTGATTGCAGTCTTCAAAAATAATGAGAAGGTGGGCCAAAGATGTGAAAGAGGAAACATAAGGCATCTATTACTTATACAGAGTATGATTAACCAGACCATTTGTAATTTGTTATTGTCACAGAGTTCGTATCTGTATGGGTTGTTACTTTTCCATGCTTTTGTCTCAGTTACATTTTATGGTCACTGTCTCTAATCAGGTATTCAAAAGTTATGTTTCTAGAAATAAGTCAAAGAAACCAATTTTATTTTCTAGGCATCCTTAAATCCTAGTGATACACCTCCTTCTATTGTAAATGAAGATTTTCTTCATGACCTTAAAGAAACTAATATTTCATATTCACAAGAAGCAGATGATCGAGTATTTAGAGCTCATGGTAAGCAACTTTATATAAGCAGTGTTTTTAATTTTAAAATTTCTTATAAATTAAGATGTTTTTAACATGTTCTTTTTTAAATACAAAACAGGTCATTGTCTTCATGAGATATTTTTGCTCAGGGAAGGAATGTTTCAGCGAATTCCTGATATAGTTTTATGGCCAAGTAAGTTTTTTTTTTTTTCCTTTGCATCATTAATTTAGTATTGTGAAATCTTAAATAAATTTAGTTTTGGAAATACATACTTGTAAACATAGGAGTTGTAAAAAGTATAGGTAACTGTATTTTTAGTGTACCAAAAGTTGTGTAATTCTTGATCGGATCATCCTGAACTATTGGTTTTAATGATTGATTCTTTTGTTGCTGATTAAGTCTTCATTTTAAACATAAATATCATATTGGAAGGTGGGTAGCAAAATGTATTTTTGGTTAGTTTGAAAGCTTAATGAAATTAATATTGATCAATGATAAATATTCAGATATAAAGAAACTCTTAATTATTGATTACTATAAACTAGTAAGTAATTTGTTGATATCACTTCATGGGCTAACAAGCATTGTCTTCAAATGGTGAAACAAGTTGTTTAAGATACCCATTGTCTTTGATATAAACAGTTAAATTCTGAAACATTAATTTCATTCCTGATTTTGGCTTGAGATAGAAGAAGGATGAGCTTTGTGTTGTTATTTTGCTCTTGCTGATGATTAGGCAGTATATTTATATATATGATTTTTGTACCCATCTCTTTTAGTAGAAAATTTAAGGTAGAATTGGTATATTTGTACCTTACTGTCCATAATTACCTTTTACAAAAGTTCCAGTGATCTGATCCTTTTTCCTCTTCAAACTCCATAAAGGAGTATAGGGAGTATTTTATTTTTCAAAATATTGTCTCATCTGTTTTTAGTTGTGATCCCTCTACTTCACAGGGAATATCTGAGGGGAAAAAAAGCATACTTTAATATGGAGGTAGGAGGGAGGTGACATATGTAGGGGGAAAATGCAAGAGCCTGTGTAGCTGAGATTAAATTACTTTGTTGATACCTGTGGGGTATGTTCTTCTAGTGTTCTTTTAGTAGCTTTAGGCTACTTCATTACCAAGATTTGGGCAAGATTTATTCCATTTTTTTACTGGAAAAGAAAGCAAAATTTATCAATTTTTGCTTATCATAGGAAACCTTAATAGACAATCTTTTGATAAATCTTAAGTAGAACTTGGAGTGTGCTTTCTAGGTATGTTCTTCATGTGTCTGAATATTAAAGTACTGAGGATTTACCATAATGAAAATGTATGTCTTACTTTCGAAAATACAGATATTTCTAAAAATCCAGATTTAGGAAACATGCAGAGTTAGTTGTTGTACAAAAGTTTCTTTGTTCTATAAAATCCGTTCTGTATGGCAGTCCCTACCAACCTTGTCCTTCTATTTTTATTTTCCATGTTAGTTTTCAAACCAGGCCCTTATCAATGCATAGCTGAATTTTCGCAGCAGTCTATAATGTTCTCTCTCATACCTTGAGTTTCTTGTTCTTCCAGGTCACCCTATATATATTCTTGAGAGGTTAGTTTTTCTAAAATATTCCCTTTATCATCATGTTTCATACCTCAAGAATCTAGGTGAGCAGTGGGATGAAGGAGTGCCATGTCAGATAACGTGGTCAAAGAAACCTTTTGATTAGTTGACAATCCTAGAAGTAGTTTTGCCTTGTTAAAGGTTTTTGATAGTCATGTTTGGGTATTTTATTAGTTATTAATAAACTAGGATTCCATTTAATACATTTTTTACCACAAATAGTAAGTTTTATAAATTTAATCTGAAAGCTTGAAAGTGAATCTTCATTAAAAATTGGAATGATACAAATGACATATTCCTAGCTTTAAACAAACCTGAGAAATGATAACTTTTATAGACCAGTATTTTTACTTTCATAAATGGATATTCATTTGTATATTTTACATCCTTAAATTTCCCTTTCAATCCCTTAGCAAATAATACCTGATTTTTGCATAATTTCCTTGCCTCAAGTCTTTTTCTCTTCCTTGCCATTCCATGTTATCAGGAGATTAATCTTTCTCAGATAGTTTCTTTGCCATGCCAGCTCCCTGGCTTAATGCCCTCTTGCTAGCCAAATTGAGGTTTAGCATCTTATGCTTTGTATTTAAAGTCGCCTGCTGTCAGGTATTTGTTACTTGTATAGCTTACACTCTGATAAAGAGTACTCTGCCAGTTGTGTACAATAGAAAGGAATATATGTGGTGTATTATGTATAGTATTTTAAAATTTGTTTAAAAGCAGAATGAAACACCATCAGTGAATGCAAAAATAAGTGGGTGAAAGTATGATGAGAAATATTTATATAGATTAAGTGTCTCCCTACAAGATACTTACTAATTAAAGCATTCTTATAGTAGAGAAACCTGGCAGATTTCTTTATAACCAAATGATGAAAGTTAACATTACCAGAAATGAGACCTGTCTGTATCATGTGCCTCTAGATGTAGCTCTTAAGAAAGGCACAGCATCACTTCTGTGGAATTCCTGCCTAACTGTGTACCTGAATTTAACCATGAGGAGACATAGAAACCCAAATTGAGAGAGATTCTATGAAATAACTGACCTGTGCTTTTCAAAAGTGTCAAGGTCATGAGAACCAAAAAATAGACCAAGGAACTGTCTTAGATTAAAGAAGAGTAAGGAGATGTGGCAGCTAAATGCAGCGTGTGATTGGCAGTTCCAGAAAAGGGGGCATTAGTGAAACAATTGGCAAAATTTGAATAAGGTCTGTAAATTAGTTAATAGTATCGTGTAAGTGTAAATTGCTTGGTTTTGTTAATTGAACTATAGTTATGTAAGTATTAATATTTGTGGCTGCTGGGTGAAGGAAATTTTTTGTACCTTATTTGCAACTTTTTTGTAAGTATGAAATCATTTCAAAACAAGAAGTTAAAAAGATAAATAATAAACATTTTGTTTTAATGTAGCCACTTAATGAAGAGTACATAAATGATGAAAAAGACACTAAAGAACTTAATAGACCCTCATTTTGCAGGGTTACCTAGCGTTTACTCATGTCCCTGTGATTAATTTATTTCCCTTTTCTCAACAGCATGTCATGATGATGTAGTTAAGATTGTGAATCTAGCGTGCAAATATAACCTTTGTATCATACCAATTGGTGGTAGGTATTATGCCTTTTGAATTTTAATATTATGTAAATGTGTTGTTTTAAATTTAAGATATTTATATTCTAAATATTTGTGCCATCCCTTTGAAAGCAAACATTCTTGTAATTATGATATGTTTTTTCTGAAAAATTGGTTTATGTTGCTCATTTTATAGTAGGTCTGTTTACCTGAACTGTTTGAGCCATGTTGCTCATGGCTTCTTTCCCATGTGGATGCTAGTTGACACTGTGACTTAATGCTTAAACAAGAAAATGTTCCCACTTTAGCAATTACTTTATAACCTTTGTCTTTATGGAGTGAATGTTATTTTTCAAAGGCTAAATATACCCAGTGTATACTTTTGGGGAGGAATGCTATGCAGTGTGAAAGATCAACTAAGGCAATGATGATCAGATCACAATACCTTTTAATGTTGAAAAACAGCATTGCTTTGCATTTAAAGACAAATTTGATCTCTCTTGATCTTTTATGAACCACATTTTTTTAATAACTTACACAAGCCAAAGGAAATTGCCTTCACTAACTCAGTTAGCATTGATGGAATGGAAGTGGGACCCCAACAAATCAGGAGCTCCAGATTCCTTCTTCCGCTTATAAATTGGGTTGAATTAAATTCATGGAGAAAAGGCCCTACAGTGTCACTTTCAGGGAAATATTTTTCTGATATCAAAGGACTGTGATAAGCAAATAGTGTTTACTGAGAACACGGTATTATTTTGTACTGGTATTAAGAAAGCATTTTTCGTTTGATAACAAATGTTAATGTAAAACAGGAGTACTTTGTTTACATACTTCTATATATTATTTATTCTATATTAAAATCATCTTTTCACTATTGACACATAAATTTGTTTGAATATTGTGTAATCCAGGCAACTTTAACTTGTTTATATTCTAGTTTATTAAAGTCTTTTTGTATGAGAATATATTATTTCAAATGATAAATGAATCTCATAATTAAGGTAAGGTGTCTTTAGTTGAATTAGGAAGGGTATTTTTTCTTTTAAGCGATATCTCCACAGTAATCTTTAGCTTAGAACTTTTCTAATCATGTTTTTGGAGTTTCACAAATTGCTAGGGGCTTCACTTGAGTGTGCCCAGGGGATGGAGCCATATCCCATTGCTTTCAGCTCCATAATATTTCTTCATTTTGGCATGCAGCATAAAATAAAGGTGAGTTTGCTTTTAGTGTGTTAGCATTTGCAAATTACATTTTGCAAAGTAGAAATAGGTATTACTTTTCTAGTGGGCCTATTTGTATACTTTGTATTAGGAATTTGTCCTAGAAACTTAGCTTAAAAAATAGAATATTAAACATAGCGTTGTTGTTTCCTATTTTGGCAGGAGGAACAAGTGTATCATACGGCTTAATGTGTCCTGCAGATGAGACAAGAACAATTATTTCTTTGGACACTTCACAAATGGTATATGAAAATTTTAGACTTACTTGAAGATAATGTTTGGTTTAAAAAACTCCTTATGACTCAGTCTTAGTTGTCATTATAAAGGTATATTTTTCATTTTGTTTTAAATTTATTTCATCATTATATTTTACCCTTGTCTTCAGGTCCCAGAAAGCTTAGTTCACTCACTTTTAGGCACAGATATTGGTGGTTTCTACCAAATTAGCCTAAGAAATTGATAATTTGAGAGTCATGGATTGGACTATTGATATAGTAGATGACCTGATTTGTATTGTTAAAAGCAAAACACATAACATTGGTTAAAGTTAATTTGGAACACCAAAACTTGTCTCCCCAATTTGTTTTTAAAGTTTATTTTCTTTATTTATTTTGTGAGAGAAAGGGGGTAAGGGCAGAGAGAGAGAGGAAGAGAGAATCAGAATACCAAGCAGTCTCTCTACTCTCTCAGCACAGAGCCTGAGGCTAGGCACAGGGCTCGACCTCACAAACCATGAGTTCATGACTTGAGTCAAAATCAAGAGTTGGATTTTGACTGAGCCAACCAGGCACCCCTGTCCCCCCAATTTTTTAAAAATATTTTTAGATGTTTATTTATTTTTGACAGAGCATGAGCAGGGAGGGGCAGAGAGAGAGGGGAAACACAGAACAAAACAGGCTCCAGTCTCTGAGCTATCAGCACAGAAGAGTCCGATGCGGGACTCGAACTCACGAGCTGTGAGATCATGACCTGAGCTGAAGTCGGATGCTTAACTGACTGAGCCACCCAGGTGCCTCCTGTCCCCCCAAATTTTAATGCTGTTGCATTTTTGCTTGTGGAAGAATAAAGAGCTAATTTGAATGATAGGATTATTTTGTGACATGTTGGCTGATGGTGGTCCAAGAGTTGGACATTGTGCCATGTTAAAGCTTTAATTTGGCGGGGCGCCTGGGTGGTGCAGTCGGTTGAGCGTCCAACTTCAGCCAGGTCACGATCTCGCGGTCCGTGAGTTCGAGCCCCGCGTCAGGGTCTGGGCTGATGGCTCAGAGCCTGGAGCCTGTTTCCGCTTCTGTGTCTCCCTCTCTCTCTGCCCCTCCCCCGTTCATGCTCTGTCTCTCTCTGTCCCAAAAATAAATAAATGTTGAAAAAAAAAAAATTTAAAGCTTTAATTTGGGTATGAATTTAATCTTTATATGAACAACAATATTCATGGTTGCATATTCCTTCATTAGTATAAACAGGTTTTTAAAATGTAATTAATTAGAAATTTTTTTCAAATGGCAAAGTAAAATAGTATATCCATTTTCTAGATTAAGGAATTATTAACATTTTGTAATATTGGCTTTATCTTCCTTTGTTTCTCTACTATTTTATTTTATTATTTTTTCCCAACGTTTATTTATTTTTGAGAGACAGAAACAGAGTGTGAGTGGGGGAGGGGCAGAGGGAGAAGGAGACAGAATCTGGAGCAGGCCCCAGGCTCTGAGCTGTTAGCACAGAGCCTGACACTGGGCTTGAACCCAAGAGCCATGAGATCATGACCAGAGCCGAAGGTGGACGCTCAACTGACTGAGCCACCTAGGTGCCCCCGTTTTTCTACTATTTTAAAAGCAAATCCTGATATTATGCTACTTACAAGTAAATATTTCTGTGTATCTGTTTTTTTCCTTTCGTAACATTTTATTATGAAAATGTTTAACCACACAGAAAAGTTGAAAAAAATTACAATGAACAGTCATATACCCACCACCATCATTCTTTCCCTCTGTCCATCCATGAACCTATCTTATTGTTGGATATTTTTTTAAAGTAGTAGACATCACTACCATTCCCCCCAAATACTTTGGCTTGTATATCATTACTAGGATCGAAAGTTTATGATTTTTTATAATTCTTTTTTTTAGGTAAAAGACATGTTTACATAAAATACACACGTCTTAAGCGTACATTTCCGTGAGTTCTGACAAATGTCTACACCTGTGCTAGTCAAATCTCTATGACTTCAGAAAATTCCGAACAAATCCCCAGCCCTCTTCGATCACCCAGAGTAAATCACTTTTAGTTCTAGAACTTCATATAAACAGAATCATATACTACATACTCTTTGGTGTCAGGTTTTTTTCACACAGTATAATGTTTTTGAGATTACTCTGTTCCTGAGTTTATCACTAGTGCATTTCTATTTCCTGTTGAGTGATACTGTATTATATAACTATACCATAGTTTGTTTATCCATTTTTCTATGGATGGACACCTATGCTCTTTCCAGGTTTGGCTTTTATAAATGAAGTTATTATGAATATTCTTGAATAGGTGTTTTTGTAAACATAGGCTTTCATTTCTGTTAGGTCAATATGTAAGAGTGGAATTAAATCATAGTAGGTACATGTCAGTTTTACAAGCAATTTCCAGGTCTTTGTTCAGAGTAGTTGCACCATTTTACACCCCCACAAACAATGATAGTTTTAGTTATTCTGTGTATCTGTTTTTAAAAGAACATTTTCTCACTATATTATTGTTGCTCCTGTCAAACTTAAAAACAGTTCCTTGTGTCATTTAACATAGAGTTTCACATTCAGATTTTACAGTGGTTTCAAAATTGTTTTTATTTTATACTTCATCTGTTCATATGGGGATTGAGACAAGACCCACGTTAGCTTTTGGTTGTTTCCTTAAGTCCCATTTTATCTTTCTTCTTTTTTGAATATTGCTGACTTTTGGAGGAACTAGGTGATTTGTAGTATAAATTATATCATATTTTGAATTTGCCTGTCACTTCATCTTGGTATCATTTAACTCTTCCTCTAGGTTTTGTATGTCCTCTGACCTGGAAGTTAGATATAAAGTCTAGTTAGATTCAGGCATAGCTTTAAAAGTTTTTTTCAGCAAGGATATCTTGTAGATGATGACATATTTTTTTATGTCATGTCACATCACACATAATATCTGTTTGTCCACTTTAAGTATTGCTAAAATTAATCAGCAGGTTCAGATGGTGATAGGCTGATTATTCTGTAAAGTTTCCCATTAACCTTTGTCCTTATCTCTGAGTTTAAGAGAAGAATCTTCCTTAGAAGATTACCTAAGAGTAGCCTGTTCTGGAATAGACTTTGGAATGTTTTTGAATTTCTGTGTACTGTGTACAAATTTACCACTAAATCTGTTACTGAATTTGTAAAATAGTAATAATACAGAAAGTAATTTTGAAGATTAAATGAGATAAAAGTCTTTACATTGAGTAGATAGATGCTGAAAATTCTGTAGCAGAATTTTAAATGGCAGAATTTTAACCATTTATTTTGTAGAAAAACCTTGTGTATTCACTGCCTTTAATGTTAAACTCTCCTAAATATTGTAGTGGATGGATGGTACTTATAATTGTGATTTGCTTTGAAGTTGATAAGGTATGTGTGCAAGATTTTGCACGAGTACTTCTGGTACAATGTATACAAAATATGATAATTAGTAATGCCAGTTTTCTACTTAAATATCTACAATAATACTAAGACCTATTGATCTCAAAGTTTTTATTTTATCATTAACTTGTATTGGGTAGTGTATACTAGATATAATAGGGTATCCTATATATTTTCTATAGGTTTCTCTATGAGTGCCCATAAAGGTGTTTGTTTGTTTTTCTTTGCCTCCTTTCAGTTTCTTTGATCTACCAAAAATATGTTGGGACCACTGGTAGATACAAGGTGTATAATTACCACAAGCATGTAATCACTTTAACAACCAGTCTACTAGGGGAGAAGTGTATAAGTTATTCAGATTACTGGATTCTGTCTTTTTACCTTACAGTTTAGTATAGACCAAAAGACTCATTTGCCATAGTTATATTGAAATTACTATGTCTTATTGTGAGAGTATAATTAAAATGATAGCTTTACATAACATAAAACAAAAATTACATTCACATATGTCATCTTATTTAATGTTTATCATAATCCTGTGAATTAAACAGTGCAGTTATTTGTATGTGTTCAAATTTGGACTACAAGACAATTTTCATATTGTCTATTGCGTTCTTTCCTTTTTGTTATTAGCTAGACTTACCTGCATTAGTTATTGGCATGAAATTGAAAATATCAAAGTGCAAAGAAAGCTTCTGTGGGATCCAGAAGAAGGTCTATATGTTAATCTGTTTGCTCAGCCAAATAGAAGGGAAAAGAAGTCTGACTTTAATAGTACAAAGTAATTCATACATATAAAAAATTAGGTCAAATAAGAATGTCAAAAACATTCTGTAAACATTTTGTAAGTTGAGCCAGATGATATTCAGTTTCTTCTTTTCAAGTAGGAGGCAGGGGTGTGCTTTGTTTCCTACCCAGAGCCTCTGGCCCTATTTCGGATTAAAAATATAGTAGGAATGCCATTTACTATATGCACATGTCTTTTTTTAATCTCACAATGGCCATCTTCTGATATTCTTAAATTAGATATGATTTATAACTATTAATAGTAGTGCAGATGGTATTTACAGAATGCCAGGAACTTTGTATGCTAAGACTTTTTTTTTTTTTTTTTTTTTTTTTTTTTTTTTTGAGATTTTATTTTAAGTAATCTCTACACCCAGTGTGGAGTGCTCAAACCCACAACCCCAAGATCAAGAGCTGTACACTTCACAAACTATTCCAGCCAGGTGCCCCCATATGCTAAGCTTTTATGTGCAGCATCTCATTTAATCCTTACACCAACCTTATGAGTAGTATTACTATTCACACTGTACAATGAGGAAGCACTAAAAGTAGACAGTTAAATAATTTGCGTAAGGTAAGTACAGTTTAATTCAAATTGATAATGAATAAAGACAGAATCTATCTTTTAAACCAACTCTTGTGCAATATACTGCCTAAGTTGCTATGTCTGTCATGTTTTATAGTCTGGGATAAATGGAATTTTGTAGTGAGGGTAACCCTACTTGCTTATTTTCTGTCTTGTAACTTGCTACCTTGAATTAGGAAGCTATATTTCCTGAGAAAATGTCAATAGTTCATAGAGATGAGAATTTTTTCTTCATTTGCAACAGAATCGAATCCTCTGGGTTGATGAGAACAATCTGACAGCTCATGTAGAGGCTGGTATAACAGGACAGGATTTGGAAAGACAGGTATGTTACTTCCTTTAATTAACATTTTCAAAATTGCTATATGTCCTCTCTATGAATGGGGTACCTTTCACAGTACATTCACTGAGCAAATTTGTTCAGCTTTTATTGTGGGTCAGGCATTGAGCTAGATACTGAGGATACGGTAGTGAATAAGACACCATCCCTTACCTTTGGAAAGCTTACATTACAATAGAAAATTAGATAAATAGACACTTATGATTCAGAATGAGAATTGCAAGGTGAAGGCTGAATGCAAGGTATTATGGCTCATCAAATGGGGTTAGGAGGGAAGGAACTGGACAAAGAAGGTATTGCAGAGAATGCAGCTTTTAAAATGAGACTTCAGGATGAGTGAAAGCAAAAAAGTTAATGGGAGTGGAGAGAGCAATCCAGTCGGAGAAAGCAGCAGGTGCAGAGACTTTAAGGGCAGCTGTTGCTCTTGGGGACCTGCAGACAGCTGAGTGTGGCTGAGGTCTAGTGTGTGTGTGTGGGAGAACACACATTCTATATGTTGGGTGGGTGTATGTATAGCAGTGGTAGAGGATGAAGCCAGTTAAACATGAAGAGATCAGACTATAAAGGAGCCTTATAAAGCCCCTTCTAGAAGTTTGAACTTTACCTCTGTATTCAGGTAGTTCTGGCTAGCTCCTGTGTGGAGGATAGATGGAGGGGCACATGAAGGTGGGTAAGAGGCTCTGGCATAATTCAGGCAAGAACTGATAGTGACAATAAAAGAGTAGAAATGGAGCAAAGTGAAACATATTGGACATAGAATTCTCAGAAGTTGATGATAAATTGGATCAACTGGGTAGATGTTGGTATTTGCTATTAATTGAACTTTTTAGTGCCTAATTTCATTGAAAACTGCCCATCTCATGAATTAGTCAAACTCTTGGAGACTTTGTAACACTTTTTGGTATCCTGATGAATTTTTGGAAAGCTTGAGGTTCCTTTCATGGATTCTAAGCATGTAATTATTAAAATGTATTGATTTTCAACCTACGCAAACATGGTCAGGATGACTATAACTCAGCTGTTGTAAATAAAAATCAGAAAGTTTAATTTGTTGTTAATAATACTGACCACTTTGTTCTACTTGAGTTACAGAGACTCCTCCCTTCTACATTTTAATGGGACATGGAGATGAGATGGTTGTCGATCTTTTTTTAATTGTCTTTTTCCTTATTTCTTGGTAAAAAGTTGAATGAAATTGGTATGCCACTGACCATTTCTGGATGAAAGGCTTTGAAAAAAATATTAGATTATTATCTTTATTTTTGATTTAATGAACTAAGAACTGGATGAAATTGAACATATTGGTTGAGGCAGTGTTAAAGATCTTCAATAAGCCAAGGTTTTATAGAAGTCAAAGTAATTACCTTTGTTAATTACTATAGTTTATAATATAATGAACTTAACACACACACACACACACACACACACACACACACACACAAAATGAACTTAAGTGGGGCAGAATAATAGTATTTAATGAAAAAAAACCTGTAAAAAGTCCTGTATTAGTCTCCCATTATGTCTGAATGAGGCCCTAGCAACACAGCAATTTTTTTATAACAAAAAGTGGCCTTTCATGTCTCTAATTTTATGTCTTTGATTATAGCATTTGATGTAGTATTTTAACCTTTCCAAGTTTTTTTTTTAAAGGTTAGAATTAAAATTCAACGAACATATTTCCTTGAAATTTAAATGACATTTTCCTAGACTAGGAGCTTCTGATATTTTACCTACTAGGTCATTTCCCTAAATGCCAATATAGAACTTTCTTTTTTGCCTCCAGTAGACTGTAATGTAGTTTCTATAGCTGTTTCAATCCCAGTTCAACTTTTTCCTCATTAAACTTCTGTACCCTTCAGTTTCTTAATCAGCTGAGGTAACCAGCTTAAAACATCCTGCTTTTTCCTTCTAGAAATTCTTTTTTTTTTTTTTAATTTTTTTTTTTTTTCAACGTTTATTTATTTTTGAGACAGAGAGAGACAGAGCATGAACGGGGGAGGGGCAGAGAGAGAGGGAGACACAGAATCGGAAACCGGCTCCAGGCTCCGAGCCATCAGCCCAGAGCCTGACGCGGGGCTCGAACTCACGGACCACGAGATCGTGACCTGGCTGAAGTCGGACGCTTAACCGACTGCGCCACCCAGGCGCCCCTTTTTTTTTTTTTTTTTTTAATTTTTTTTTTTTTTCAACGTTTATTTATTTTTGAGACAGAGAGCCTTCTAGAAATTCTTAAATGACACAAATGTATTAGCTGGGTAGCACAGGTTTTAATCTCTTCAGCTTATAGATTTACACTGATTTTAATATATATAAAATTTAAGAGAGGTCATTAATATGTCAATTGTGGATTTGGGAATTTGTTTCTAGGCTTATTAAAGTTTTGGCTACTGTATTTTATTAGTTAATAGTCTGGGGATGTGTGACTTACGTTTTTACTCCCAAGGACTCGTTTCCCTGTGCCTTAGTTTCTTTATCTATGAAATAGAGGTAATAATTCCTACTTTATATATATTTTAGGAAGAAATAAGTTAATCATGTAAAGTGCTTAGAACTTTTATTCATTTCACTAATTTTTATTGAGCACTATCTGTACTTCATTGAAGCACAGCTGACTTTAAATATTCCTTTTATGTGCCAAAGACTTCTATATTTATAACATCATCTTAGAGTTCTTTCTTGAACTCTATAGAGACTTATATTTTCAGTTGCCCTGTTGATGTCTCCACTTTGCATATATAATAGACATTTTAAACTCAATATTTTAAAAATTGAATTTCCGTTTTCCCTTCACAATTTGCTTATTCTTTATCCTTCTCATTCTCAGTTGATGGGAATTCAGTTCTTGTGCAGCTTGGGGCAATATCCTTGGAGTCATTTGTTCTTGTTTCACTTTATAATAATTTCACTGAGGTATAATTGGCATACAATAAATTCCACTTATTTAAAATGTACAACTTGATATGTTTTGGTACACAAGTATAACCATGAAACCATCACCACAATCAAGATAATGAACACATGTACCAAACCCAAAGATTTACTCTTGCTTCTTTATAATCCTCTCTATCCCAGTCTTACCCCCACCCCTGGCAGTCATTGATCTGCTTTCTATCACTGTAGATTTGTTCAAATGTGCTACAGTTGTACTAAATCTAATCATGCACTCTTTTTGAGGGTAGATTGAGGGTATGACTTCTTTCGCTAGGCATAATTGAGATTAATGAATATTGTTGCATGTATCAATTAGTTTATTCCTTTTTATTGCTCAGTAGTATTCCATCATATAGATATACCACTATTTATCCATTCACTTATTGTTGAATATTTGGATTATTTCCAGTTTGAGGCTGTTACAAATAAAGCTGCTATGAACATTCATGTACAAATCCTTGTATTGACGTATACTTTCATTTCTCTTGGGTAAAAAATCAAAAAATGAAATGGCTAAATCAAATGGTAGGTACATATTTACATTTTTGAAAAACTACCAAACATGTTCCCAGAGTGCATCATTTTATATTCCTACTAGCACTGTGTAAGAGTTCCAATTTCTCTACATCTTCTCCAATATTTGTTAATGTTTTAGGCATTCTAGTAGATGTGTTACAGTATCTCATTGTGGTTTTAATTTGTATTTTTCTAGTTAGTAGTGATGTTGAACATCTTTTCAAGTGCTATTTGCCATCCATATATCTTCTCTGGTGAGGTGTCTGTTCAAGTTATTTGCCCAATTTTTAAATTGGGTTGTTTGTTTTCTTACTGTTGAGTTTTGAGAATTCTTTACATATTCTGGATATAAGTCCTTTTGCAGGTATATACTTCAGAAATATTTTCTCCCAGTCTGTGGCTTGTCTTTTCATTCTCTTGACAGAGTCTTTTAAAGAAAAGATGTTTTTTATTTTGATGAGTTTCAAAACATATTTAAGTTTTTACTTTATATATCATGCTGTTGCTGTCATGCTTTGCTTTAGCTTAGGATACAAAGATTTTCTCCTATTTAAGTTTCATAGTTTTTATTTTACATTCAAGTTTCTGATGAGTTTTGAAGGTTTTTGAGTTAATGTTTATGTATGTTGCAAAGGATGGATTGAAGTTCTTTTTTTTTTTTTCTTTGCATATGGCTATCCAGTATTTTCAGCACCATTTGTTGAAAAGATTACCCTTTTTTCATTTGACTTAGCACCATCATAAAAAGTTTGTTGTCCATATATGCGTGCATCCTGGGCTCTATTTTGTTTCATTGATCTTTTGTATATCTTTATGCCAGTACCAGATAGTTTGGATCACTGCAGCTGTATCATAAATCTTTTTCAAAGTTGTTTTGGCTATTTTAGGTTATTTGTATTTCCCTATGAAATTTATAATCACCTGTGAACTTTTGTTTAAACAAAAAAAGCTTGTTGAGATTTGATTGAGATTGCATTGACTCTGTGTCAATTTGGGGAGAACTGACCTCTTAACAATATCGATTCTTTTGACCCATGAACATGGTATGTCCCTAGTTTTTTTTGTCTATAATTTCTCTTAGTAGTATCTTGTGTTTTTTTTGTAAAATCCTTCATGTTTTTTAAAATAAGCTTTATCCCTAAGTATTATATGTATTTTTTATGCTATAGTAAATGGTATTTAAAAAATTTGGCATGGGGGGGACACTTGGGTGGCTCTGTTGGTTAAGCGTTTGACTCTCGGTTTTCGCTCAGGTCATTATCTTGCGGCTTAATGGGTTCAAATCCTGCATTAGGCTCTGTGCTGGCAGTGTGGAGCCTGCTTGGGATATTCTGTCTCTCTCTCTCTCTCTCTCTCTTCTCCCCCCCACCTCCCGTTGCTCCCTCTGCCCCTTTCCCACTCGTGCTATCTCTGTCTCTCTCAAAATAAATGAATAAACCTAAAAAAATTTTTTTTCAGTTTCTGAATGTTCTTTACTAATATGTGTAAATACATTTGAGAGTCTAGAGATTACTAAAAAAGTACACAAGAAAAAAGTG